GGAGGGAGAGACTCACTGGGTGCCTTCCCTAGATTCACAGTAAGACTTTCACTTATAACCATTGGTCAAAATTTTGTTGCAGAAAAAAAGTTAAACCATGAAACAGCTTCTTTTCAAATCCAGCATTGAAAAACAAAGTTCAATGTGAATTCACACTAACCTGCAACATGTTCAAGGAAATAAAATCTGCCACCCTAAAACAAACAGATATAGGAAAGAATTAGTACAGAGTAACTCATTTTTAAAGGGAATAACAGATTATAAAATGCCCAAGGCCAGGTTGTTCAAAAGCTGATTTACACTAACCCAGGATTAACAGTTAACCAAAGTATTAATTTTTCTTGTATAAAGTTTTTTGCCTCTAATATGTTTTGTGCAGCTTGAGATTATTCAAAATCAAAACTGAGGGGAAAACAACATTTTCAGAAAACCTCACCAAAAAGTTACAAAACTGAAATCAAAATTTTCTCTAATCTTGGGTAGCTTCATTGAGTATTGAACAACCCCGCCCAGATACTTAGTTGAACTTTTTGGCAAATAATTTCCTTCCTTTTAAATACTAGATGTATTCAAAAACCCCAAAGTGCTTTCTAGAATGATGGGTATTTACTGGGCTCACAAAATCTTTGAGAACCTGATGAGGTATGTAGGACATTATGTAGGAAACCCTGTTTCTCACTTTTTTTTCATTCTTCCCGCCATAAAGTTGCACGAATTCATGTATTCAGAGCTTGAAGGGAAGAGAAATGTGTTCCAGGTTATGTGGGCCATTTAGTAACAGAGCATCATGCAAACTTCAAACTTCGGCAAAGTGCACGCTTTCCTTTGGGTAACTCAAAAACATGGATTCCTGGTCCGTGGACTCCACCAATCCGACCAGGTCAACAGAGATCTATGGACTGGTTTACGGACTACCCTTAAGGGCCCCCTCTACCAACTGCCTCAAAACTAAATAAAAATGTTATAAAATAATGATGATAATAACAGATTTCACTTAATCATTGTGTTATGTGGGTAGACCACTCACATCAGTGAAATGTTGAGTGCATTGCCTCACTGTATATGGGAGTCCCCCCTTGACCCCTGGGCTATGATGATTAAATTTTGATGCATTATTATTTTGGTAGATATAAAAGCTTGTGCACCATGGGTGTGCTCCATACTACTCCACATTTAAGAAATAAAAAACATGTACCGTGTTTTTATTGAGTTATGGAAACATGAGTGGAAGTTTGGGAGAACTAGAAATGCTGTGGGAACACGAGCCATAGGCGAGTGTTTCCACAGCTTTTTTGAATTCTCCCAAACTTTCATGAGTGTTTCTATAACTAGATAGAAACATGAAGAACATGTTTTCCATTTCTTTTAGAAAACACCGCAACGAAAAAAGGAAAACAGCTTGTTAACTTTGATTATCAAAATGTAAATTCATCAGTACGTAAACAGCTTGTACTAGTTCTGTGTTTCTATCGAGTTATAGAAACACAATTTTTAACCAATCAGCGCGCGTATTTTCGTAGGACTGTTTTCTAACACTCCATATCAAATGGAATGATAAGGTTTGGTTTGAATATTTTGGAAGAAAGTTAGTACCTCTTTATGGTTGGGCAAAAAGTTTTGATTCCATCCTGCTCATCTATCTGCTAAGATGTGAGGATGCGAGCCACACGTCTGCTTCGTTCTTCACCGCTTCTTAAAATTCATGGATTGTTCCAATGACGCCCCCACCCNCCCCCCCCCTTCCCCATTCCACAACTCTCTGCTACACCCTACCTCCGAGAAAATATACACACAACATACTCACAGGCATCAGCACCCTTTTCACTTCCTGAAGGGTTTTCTTTATTTGATCTTCGGTAAGGCAACACAACAGCTTCGTACAAACTACAGCAGCAACAGAATTGTCCTCTACCCCGACTTGCCCAGTACAACTCATGTCCTCAGCTGAAGCCGCAACAAACTTCTTCAAGTGGACACTATCGCCAACTTTCTCCAGATTTGACTTGAGAAGTTCTTCCATGTGTGGATTCGGATCGACAGCTATAAGTGAGGCCCCGTGAGGATAATAATCGAAGTTTGCTCCTGGACCGATGCCTATTTCCACAACATCGCTGTTCAATATTTTCAGGTGTTTGGCAAGATCATCGAAAAGCTTTCGTTTCACAGGATCGAAGACTCTCTTGGTTACGTCTATCCAGATTCTATGTGACTGTGCAAACGACTTTTTGTACCAACTAGAAGACATTATAATCTTTATGGCTCTCACAAAAATGGCAGCAACAAATACTGCAATCAACACAGCAAAGCCCGTGTACGTGTCCGCCATTTTGGGAGCCCGGCTGTCACGCAATAGAGCCTCTGGGAATTAATGGTCACGTGACCATTAACTTCTAACTTTTTAGCTAGGCTGTACAGTATATGCTGGTTTAGGCAGTGCGGGCGAGATCGATGGAAGGAGTTGAAGGATTAATAAAAGTTGTAGACGTGTTAAACAATATAATAGCTCTCAGCGTAAAAGAAAGACTGGGGACTGGGGACTGCGGACTGCGGACTGCGGACTGCGGACTGCGGACTGCGGACTGCGGACTGCGGACTGCGGACTGCGGACTGCGGACTGGG